TAACATCGAGTACATTTTGTTAAAATGATTTACATAAGCTTTTAATATCGTGACTCCAGTTGTCAAACTGAGAGCGGTTAATCATCAGGCAATTACTTTGGTTTTCGTTTTGGTTTTAATACGGTTTGAGGTTGGCTGAGCAGTCAAACTGTCTAAGAGCGGTTTTCAATTGAGTGTCGAAAGTAACCAGGCAAATACTTTGGTTTTGGTTTTATGACGCTCAATTGAAAACTCCGTAAATTTCCTTTGAAAACGCATCAATTTCTGGGACCGGTTATACTTTATTTCTTCGGCTTTTCCGGCGAGCTCGCATGTCATGGCAGATTTCTCTTCCAGTTTCTTCCGCCGTTCAGAATCGAATTTCACCTTTGCCATTTAGAATATAAATGCTGCTCGAATCTTCAACTCTCCGAGTTCCTCACGAGTATTGTTCATTTCTTTTATATCCAAGAAAATACGTGTTTAAAAAGCTAGTGAAACTACTTTAACACTCACAATCTAGAAAGGCATTTGAGAATGAAATTAAAAGGAGTGAAATTTGACTGCGTGAGAGCTCTGTAACAAGATGAAAGGAGAAGAAAATCGATACCAGAGAGGGGATATTGTAGCTCGACATAAGGAAGTTGTTTACAATACTGCTCCTCAGCTGCAAGATAACATTGTTTAGAAAATATTTCTTGATTATGAAGTCCAGCAGAAAATTTGTCGGCAATAGGGCATTGGAAAACTTCATGAAGAAGTAAACCTGCGGACTGTTGAACTCTCTCGGGGTCGTAAACATTGATTTATCTTGACCGTTGGCTTAACCAATTATTCAAAACTGATAAAGGACGTAACTCCCGTACCAAACTTGATCGTATGCATTGCAAACAATACGAAATTTCACGTTTAGAAACAAAGAAATAAAGTTAATATCTAAAGGCTTACGCTGTGTACTTACCGATGGTAAAAGCACAGTTGACGATGATGAGTATTCCTCGCAAAATTAACACATAACCAGAGCAACTCCTTGAGGTCGCCATGTTGTTCTTCCTTATGACACGTCTTATGCAAATTTATCCGAAAATAGACCCTCACAACAAAAGTACCACCATTAAAGCGGAACCTTCCTTCCTTTAAGTTCCGTGGCAATGGATTCGGCAGAAAATTGCAACCTTAAGATGGCTCCCTAGAGTATTTACGAACGCCCTCTTTATAGAGCGCGAGTTAGAAAAGGAAACTCAGTTAATTTCTCTTAAAGTTTTCCCTGTAGAGATTTATCAGTATGGGTGCTATTAAAATGGCAACATCTCATCTAATGACCGGCAGAGATATTCCTCAGTTTGGCCTAAACTCCTTAATATTTATACTTTCCTCCCGTGAAATTTTTTCATACTTTGCCACGTCATGGGAATAATATTGCCTGACATTCTGAATTCGTAAAAAGTCAATGTCGTTCAAACGGTTTTTCCAGTATTGTGTAATTTGTCATTCTTCTAAATATATTAGATCAGCTCTGACAGATTTTAACAAAAATACGGTATTTTATAGGAATTGTATGTGGTTACAACTGAGCCAAATTTTAAAATAATTCACTGAAGAAACGCGAGAAAATTCATTGCCAGTTTTGCTCAGTTTGTCCTCATGTTGACGTCATAAAAATCGAAAAACACTTACGTTTTCCTTTCAGCGCGCGCAAATTACTTGAGCTTTCGTCCTATGTGTGCGTGCGATCGTAAAACTATAGGGAGCCGCCTTAACGAGAAGAAATAGTGTTTAAACCATTCAGCTGTTGTCTGAGATTTTCCCATGTATCTTTGGGGGTGCGAGACCCCCACTTAAGAGAGAAAGAAAAAAACGTGTTTATGGCGGTTCGCTTTCGTTGAGTTCTTGTGTCGTTGTGTTCGAGTATTGCACGCTGTTTCCGCGTATGGCATTTAGCCTGTAAAGAGTTCGGGATTAAAGTTTTCACAGCTGTGTTTCGGAGAGAAAACATGGCAACGGAGTTACGTGACCAGTTGGCCCGTGAGATAGTAAACTATTTGGCCCAGTCTCCTCAGGTTTTCTTGCGTCACGCTTGGAAGGCACACGCGGATCACGCGGTAACATAGAAAATCCCATGAGAAAATAGTCGTGCTCAATGTTGTCATTACATTGTTTATCGTGGCTTTTTCGGATGAAACTCGGCTGTATCGTAGCTATTTCGGAAGAAATTCGGCCACCTCTCGACATCGAGTGTTTTCGTTAGCCAATCAAACTCTGCTCCACCGAAGACAGCTAACGAAAGGAAAGACGAGTAACTGGCAGCTGCTGCAGCTTGTGTAGAGCCACTTAACGAAAGCTTTTCAGTTTAAATAATTTTGCTTCATTGGCGCCTGAAGAGAAGAGAAAGAAGAGCTCTTATCATCGTATAAGACGAGTTACAGCTTTTTCAAACAACTTGATATGGCATAGTCTTTCTGGGAAGTAGCTTGTTAGATCTGACAAATCTTCATCAGGTTGAAGGCTGGCTAGTCAGAGGAAAAGCCAACATGACGGTCCACTGATAAGTAGATATAAGAGAAGCGAGGATTGAAAGGCTCAACCCAACAAGGTACTGAACAGCAGATAAGATCAGAAAAAATATCCAGGATTGGAAGACTTAACACAGCACTAGATCAGGAAAAAAATAAATCGATCAGCCTAATGTCACATCTTCTACAAGAAGCATGTACTAACTTGCAAATTATTCAAACTGTGGAGATGAGTCATAAAGCGACCATGAAGTTTATTTTCTTTAAACTTGTTTACACTGGATTTTTCGATTCTGTCATGCCGAGTTCACCAATCTATTGGCATTTAATTTCGTTTCAGGATCCAGCTGCACTTTCTCAAAATATTACGCTATAAGATATATGAGATATTTTGTAAAACTTGAAATTCATCGCGGTGTTTCTAAGTTTTCCCGTAGTTTAGGTGAAATCCTCGATCAATATGTTGCTACGTTTTCAAATGGGGTTGTTTTGCAATCTATATATCCAAGTCCCCGATCAGAAAATTGGCAAATTTACTCTCAACAGTATTCACTAATTGTCCCATCAGCAACGCATCCATGTCCAATACTATCGAACAGATACGACCCGTGAATGGCTGAACACGACCTGTACGTGTCGTACGACCAGTACGGGTCGTGAAACAACGGTTTACAAGTCGTACAGTTTGTGAACTGCATATCATTAGAGAGACTTCGGGTGTATATACAAGTCCACGACCCGTACGACTCGTCCAAGTCGTACGGGTCGTGAAACATTGGATTACGAGTCGCACAGGTCGTGGAACAATGGTGACCGGCATATCATTATTAAGACAACTCTCCTACCTCGACAGTATGACCCGTACGACCCGCACGGGTCGTACGGGTCGTGAAACAATGGTTTACGCGTCGTACAGTTGGTGAACTCCATACATAATTACGTACTAATGATAAGTGAGACAAACATGCTAAGGGCAATGTATGTTCCTCGTGCTAAAAACGTGAATGCTCCAAAGCGCAAAACACGATGAATATTCTTCGTTCTAAAAACGTGAGAGCCCAGTAGCGCTGTATACAGTGTATACTCTTCATAGTTCTAAAGCAGGAGAGAGAGTCCAAAAGCGCAAATTAGAATGTATATTCCTCGTTCGAAACGTCAATTCACAAAGCGCAAAACACGATGAATATTCTTCGTTCTCAAAGCATGAGAGCCCAATAGCACTATATACAGTGTACACTCTTGAGAGTCCTGAGGCGTGAGAGTCCAAAAGCGCTAATTAGAATGTATCAGCGATTGACTCCTCAACATGTTCCACTGCTCACACATGGATCTATGCTCTTAAGGCTTCAGCAGACCCTAAATGACCAACATGCTTTGGCGCCGCCCTCCCGCTTCACGGTTCGTCGTTTAATATAACCAAAACCCTTCAAAGTCAAGTACACTGTGTAGATTTTCTGAAAGCTTACGAATTGTAGATAACAAAGATATATTCATTTCCAGTAAAATATTTCTGTTCTCTGAATACAAACTGAAAGTTTTCCAAAAGTACAGAGGATTACATATTCGAGTTCGCTTGATTTCCGGTGGGATTTCAGGACAAGTAAGCGATCCGTGTCAACATCGCAATGTGTTCTGAACACCTTTCTCTGAAAATCCACGTCGAGTAATTTTGATTACTTGTCTGGTTGG